CTCCTCTTGAATGAAGCCCATCTTTACAAGCAGAGAATGTCAAGAAGGTGAGGCTAAGAGCTTTCACAGTCAAGTGTGCTGGAAAATAAGGCATGTCTGAGTGCTTCCATCAGCGCGCCACACTTTGGACAGTCCACATGCCCACAAACGCCATTCAAGTGACACAGACATTTTAGAAACATTGCAATTTGCAAATGGCACAAAATCAATGAATGTGAATGTTGTCCACGTCAAACCAAGTAACAAAAAACAGAGTCTATTTCTTGAAAAACATTATTATCTACCATCAAATAGGTCCAATCGCGTTTTGTTTTTTCACAAATTTTAAATCTATACTACAGAAAGTTGACTCTTGTGAGATTTAAGCATGTCAGAATGTTGTTACCTCCTCAAAAACAAACCTGGAGTTGTGCTTTGTTTCATTCACACATGTTTGAGTAACCCTTTATTATTAATCACTCTACATCTCCAAAGCTCAAAATGCTCTGTTCCACATTATGATGTCATGAAGCTACCTTTTACCTTTAGTTCAGTAGAAATTGACAATTCCAAGGCTGAAATCCTTCAAAAGACTTGCCAAAGCCTAATCCCGTCAGATCTCAGAAGTTGAGCAAGGCCGGGCCTGGTTAGTACTTGGATGGGAGACCGCTGTGAAAATCAGGTGCCACAGGAGGGTGCCAGTCACAAAAACTGTCTTTGTGTCCTTAGGCAAGACACTTCACCTACATTGCCTAGTATGAATGTGGTGTGTCCGTGAGTGATAGTGGTAGAGGAGGGGCCGACTGCATAGATTGGCAGCAGTATTTTACCATCACCGAGTGTGGAGTAAATGAATAATGATCTGTAAAGTGTCTTTGAGTGTCCAGAAAAGCACTGTATAAAACTGATGCATTATTATCTGGCACTAAACACGGGAAGTCAGCGTTTCATATTCATGCAGCTAAAACCTGGAACAGTCTTCCTGAAGATGTGAGACAGGCCTTTACTTTGACGCCGTTTAAATCCAGGCTCAAAACGGTTCTGTTTAGCTGCATATGACTGAAAGGTTTTCATTTTTCATTCCACTTTTTTCTCTCTAATTTAATGTCTCTCTCACTTTTTAATTTTATGATGATTATTTATGTCTTGATTTGTTTTTATTATAATTTTAATGTATTTCTTATTCTGTAAAGCACTTTGAATTACTTTGTGTATGACTTGTGCTATACAAATAAACTTGCCTTGCCTTATTATTATTATTATTATTACCACATGACGGTGGACCAGACTGTTTTTCATTTTAGAGAACAACTCAGCCACTTGCAGCTTTTGTGTGTTAAGCACGTGTTAATGAAACAAAACAACTTTAAGTATGATTGTGACGAGGGAGATCAGAAAACAGCGCAATGTGGGCCCTTAAAAGGTGATGTACCAGATTTATTCACATGTATTTGAGCAAATTTGTCTTGCTCTAGTTCAGATATATTGCATAAGCAGCTCTTGAGGTCAAAATACGTCTTCTACGTGCTAATTAGAAAGCATTTGATTGTCCGATAATCAGGGAGTAGGAGTCAGCATGCTAGTTGTGTCATGATATTTACCATCATGGCAAAACTGGTCTCTAAGAGCTAGGAAAAGTGCTGATAAACTCATCACGGTGAATCATGTTGATGCTATTAATGGTAGACTACAAATAGTTTCAAATTAACTACATCTTTTTTCTCCCACACTTTTAAGATGGTGAAAATCAGGTGCAGCGCCTTTATGTTTGGTGAAAAGTAGTGAAAGCAAACAGTTTGTACACGAAAGTCCATCTAAAAATCAGTGCCAATGTTACTGTTTGATCAAATAAAATCTCATATTGTAGAAAAGCTTTTTAGACATTTCTGCAACAATTTATTGAGTGGAAGGGAGAGTGGATTTGTGAAGCTCTTTTCAAAGTAGTTGGGTTCCATCAGGGGACAAGGGACAGTTTATTTTGGGGAGCTAATGGCTATGTTGTAACAAGTAATAATGCATTTTGGATTGTGTTTATGGTTCTACAAAAGCAAAAACTACATCAGTATGTTTTTTGCAGCTTCTCTATTTAGATGTAATGCCAGTTCTTGTAACACTGGAGCGCGGTAATATTGAGGAAGAGTACATTTGGAACACTTTTCTACTAAGCAGAGCCTTGAGTAAACACTATCAGCCAGGTAAAAGAATTGTTAGCTTGTAACAGAAATAAAACAACAGAAATGACCATGCGAACAAAAACAGAAAAGTGTACCAATAATTAGGTAAAATATCTGTGTAAGATCCTATTTGTCATTTGTTATTTTGTTCATTTTTTAAAGTGAAAAGCCTGTACCTGCTTTTTTCCCTCATGCAGTTGAGCAAAATTAGTCTTGCTTCAGTGCAAATATATTGTGAGCAGCTCTTAAGGTCAAAAGAAGAAAAGACGTCTGCTGTGTACTGTCTGCATCTAATTATAAAGCATAAAGTTATTGCGCAGGAAGTGTACATTAGCATAATAGTTGCTGTTAGCTTCATTGACATGACAAAACTCTGCACTGGTCTCTTGTGCAAAGCACTTAGAACCTCAACACAGTGAATAATTAGGATGCAAAGAATGCATAAGTGAGGAATAACTTTGGACCAGTGCAAATCCTTTAAAATGAACTAGTTCTGTTTTGGTCAGGTGCCACACAGAAACAGAAAAAGGCAATGAATACTAAAATGCATGCTCATTTAATTAGATCAGTACATAAAATGCGTGTTGACATTACTTTTGACGTTCATTTGTAGCTAAATAAAATGCCAATTTTGGGTTTGCTTTTTTTTCTCTGAACAAATGAGTCACGTTTTTGAAATGAAATGTCACTTTTTGCATAATTCATTAAGCCCAGCTGTGGCAGATGACTGCTCATACAGTGAACATGTCACGTTCAAAAGAGCAACAACATGAGAAGGAGCAGAAAAGAAGCTTAAGTCTCCACAGAACAAATAGGTCTCGATTCAGAAGTGCACATACAGCTTTAGAACACGACTGTAAGAAAACTGGGACTGTCACTCTTCGTGTTTTGGTCACATTCACAGGGGAATAACTACAGGTCAGTAACTTCAGTATTAAAGACCCTGTACCCATTTTTTTCCCATGCCTTTGAGCAAGCTTTGAACTGTCTACCTCTTATTAGAAAGTTTTATTGTTTAACTGTTGTTAGCATTACCATGACAAAAACTTTATTAAAAATTGTATTTATTCATTCAGACATTTCACAAAGGCTAAAGTAAAACAAGACAGTGAAAAGGAATAGGCAGAAACAAGCTTATGACACCTACCCGTTGTAACGTTTTCAGTTCGTTTATATATTTACTCAAAACTCACGCTCAAGCTCAGTTCTCAGCTGCTCTTATAAACTCATCATGGTGAATAATATGGATGTTCAGAATGCATAACGTAAATGAGGAATAACTAGACTAATGCAAACCATGCAAAATAGGCTAGCTCTGTTTTCATATTTTTATACATTTAGTTTTAAAAAGTACAGCACCTTTAACTGTTTTGATTTCCTTTTTGCAAATGGGACCTGGTGTAACTCGTGTGCTATGATGTACCATGATGTACACCGAGCTCAATGGCCTGTTTGTTTGGGCTAACACAAAGCACAACTTTCACACATAATCTGAATTTTGAGTGTGACCGCGTGCTCACACAATCTAAGTGGGCTGTCCTGTTCCGTGCAGATACCCCACTTCCCCTGGCGCTCCTGTCTGGACAAACAGAACTGTGCAGTCGTGTTTATCTGCAGTGGTGCATGGCTTGTGCGATGCATCACACTGAAGCAGACTGCCTTATTGGTCGAGATCCTGTGGCTACTGTGAGGTTGTTCACTTCTGTTGAAAATGAGCAGATTATCAATATGTTTGTTTGACTTTATTGTAATTATATGGTTTCCAGACTACTTGCTGACACAGCGAGGAGTCTGGCTGTAGAGGTTAGTCCAGCCTGTGTATTGAACCCACTATTATGTAAAGGAGATTAGCTTTCAAGCTGCATCGCAACTTCTGAAGACTCCCTGGTGTGTCTCTGGTGCAATCATTATTGACATGTTGAAGACTTTAATAACAGTAATTTCTCCATGCGGGTTGCATAAAAACAGACCAAAGATATTGTGGTCAATGTCGTCCACTGCAAACAACAATGCATCTTTGACTCAGCAGCAGAAATGCGCCAATATTCAGGGTTTCCACTCTTTTTCACTGACAAAATTTCAAAACTTTTCCACGATTTTTTCATGACTTAAAGTTAATTTTCCATGACTTTACGGCCCCCAACATGTGCAGAGCTGATCATACTTTTAGGGATAAATATGATATGTTAACCCTTTCCACTCACCTTATGGTTTGGTATTATAGTTTTTAACATTCAAAATACTGTCAGTGCATTTATTGTCGTCTCTTTTAAACATACGTTCACATTTAAGGCTCATACTTTCGGAAAAAATCATAATAGCCTAACGATAACCTAACAGAACGCTGTCGTTGAGTGACAGAGATACAAAAATTCCATGCCTTTTCCAAAACTTTCATTGAATTTACAAAATTCCATGACTTTTAAAGGCCTGGAAAATGACATTTTCAATTTCCATGACTTTTCCAGGATTTCCATTACTGTGGGAACCCTGAATATTCTATAAAAACCCATAATAATATGAGATTTTTTACTATGTGTACCCCCCTTCACTGTGTGTACAAATTGGGCAAGTAACATCTACTGTATCACTTTGTGTGGATTAAAATCTCGACAGACACTTCACATTATACAGACCTGCTGCCTTTATGGGGTCAAAAATCAGGTCCCCATGATATAAATCCTATATTATTAGCAGGGTTTAAAGTTCAAATATGGGTTAAAATAGGTTTTGGTTAGTGCTTAGGTTAGGCATAAGCAGTACTATGAATAAGGTTTGGATCAGTCTCCACGAAATTAATATAAACGAGTGTGGAAATCCTCAAGCAGCAAATCTCCCGTTGTTTACCTGTGTGTGGGATGGTGCCAGGCCCTTCCGTCCGTACACTCCGATCAGGGCGTTCTTCTGCACTGAGATGTTGAACTTTATGAAGCGTGGTTGTTCTATGTTGAGCTGTGAGCGCCAGAACACGCCCGGGGGAAGGCTCTGACCCGCCCTCTTCCCCACCTCCACCTGCCCCGTGTCAATGGAGTTGTTTTCCTGGTGCATCACGCCGCCGCGTCCTGCCAACAGACAAAAGCACATGCCCGCCCTGGTTTAGTACTTTCTTTATTATGCCATGTGGTCTTATATGAGTCCAAATATTTTATAAAGATGTACGCCTGATTGATTGAATCTCCTTAGCCAATCAGGGAAACCTATAGCCGGTTCTTGTCGAAACAAATACGGCTGCTTACGAGGAAATAAGAAGGTAAAAAGAGTATCGCAAAGGACTGAAAAACACTGGATTTTTGCAGAATCAATGAGCAAAGCACTGAAGTCTGAGGTGAGGTTGTAAAAGATAGATGACCAGTGAGCTCCTTTAGTTTCAAATGCATCCCTGAAATAAACAAATGTCCACAGAGGTGTTTTTGCTCGAGGCATAATGGAGGGAGAGGTGACCAGACTGATATAAAACTAGATTTAGTATCGATTCTCAATACAACTTAACTTTTGACAACTCTACTCTGATATGTCACGAATTAGCCAACTCAAACGAGTCCCAAAACCTTCATTATCTCTGTGGATAAAATTTTCAGACAGCTAAAGTATGACTCCTGCTTGTGTGCGCTACTTTGATCTTTTGGTTGTAGTAAATGTTACGTTCTATCTTTTCGGCGCCATGCTGAGATTGCAGACGATATTCCAGCAGAGATTTAACAACACCATAGTCATATCTGGGCTAAATGAGCGTTGGCCAGACTCTACAGGATTAAAATAATGGCTCCCCACTGTCCTCTGACGCAGGCTTTAAAAGAAATAAGATCAGATATAATTGGCTTTTTATATAAAACTCCAACGCTAACATATTTTTCTTTTCCCGGTGACTTGTAAGGCCTCATATCAGATAAGGTCTAAATGGAATCTGTCAGATGTAGTGGCCTTGCAGAAAGAAAATGGCGACAAATCAAAACAATTTGGAGAATGATGTCCGTAAATGTTGCTCAGAGATGGGAAGATGGTGGTTTTTAATGTGATCCAAATGAAAAACTGGCAAACGGGCAAATACCCTATTACCAGAACAGATTCTATTGTTAAGAAGACAAATCGGAAAAGTGTTTTCAAGCTTCGCGCTGCTAAATCTCTGCTCAAGAAAAGATGGAACTGTTTAATTTTCAGAGGCAATAACTTTTCTCTTAGAGGAGGATGATGCAGCGGAGTAATTCTCTCTCAGCAGTGGGTACAGGCAGCATGTACAGTTCAACGCGGTAGCTTCCATTTTTAGTTCCACTGCCCATGTCCTGAGGAGTTACAGGAGGACACAAATATGAACACTGTACAGGCACATTTCTGACATTCTTATACAAGTTTGAGAGTGACAGAGAATCTTGAGCGGGTCCACACTTTATTTTCTGATGAATTTCTCCTATCTTTTTTTTAGAGTTTTGAGACAAGATGCCCTCCCTGTAAATAGGTTTGCCTCACAATAATATGACTAAGCATGATTTAAAGGTGCACTATCATTAAAGGGACAGTTTGGAATTTTGGACATGGGACCTCATTTCCTAGTGAGCCAGAGTGTTGGAGATGTGTGGAGACACTTTTTTAAATATTCCATCCAGTCCTTGTATTTGAAGGATTTATATCTCAGCAGCAGCAGCGAGTTGTACTTCCTGATAGAAAGCTTGGCAGCGGCGGACTGATATATGAGAAAATAGTCCCTCAACATGCGCCAATTCATGCGAAGCAAAGTTAGTTTTATTTCAAACATTATTCTATCAACACAGACATTTACATCAACAGTCTGGTGTAATAACAGATTTGTTTCGGGTGTTTTGTGGAGTGGGTAAGACTGTTTTTAGAGGCAGGATAACTATGGCCATTGACATGCACTAGCCTAGCATCAGCGACCTCTGCAAATACAAGAACTGGATGGAATATTTCAAAAAGTGTCTCCACATGTCTACAACACACTGGCTCACTAGGAAATGAGGTTCTACGTCCAAAATTCCAAACTGTCCCTTTAATGATAGTGCACCTTTAAATCATGGTGACCTGCTATTCTTCAGATGCTATTTATTTGCCTGGAAAATAAAATAGCGTTATATTGATCTTTCTAGCATTTATTTCATTAGGGGTGTTTACTGTTGAAGAAATATCCATTCTTATTGTGTTTTTCGCAGACGTATGTCACAAAGATGCTTTACAGAGCATTATTCAGCATTATTCATTCACTCCATACTTGGGGGTGGTAAGCTTCTATTGTAGCCAGAGCTGCCCTGGGACAGACTGATGGAAAGCGCAGCTGCCATGCCAATCTGTGCCATCGGTCCCTCCGACCACCACCATCACTCTGGCACACACCACTTTCATACTAGGCAATGTGAGTGATGTGCCTTGCCTATGGATACAACAACAGTTTCTTTTCTTTTTTTTGTGACTGGCGCTTCTGAGATCTGACGGGATCAGACTTTGATGAGCCGGTGTGGCCACATTGTTCTAAGCAAAGCAATAACACCTCCATGGAGACAAATAGGTGGCACTAGAAAAGTATAACTAAGCAAGTTCCTCCATCATTTTGGATTGGACATTATAAGAAAATATGTTTTATTCAAAGATTTAGGTAGTCTAGATGGACAGACAGACACATAGATGGATAGAAAGATAGATAAATAGATAGACAGATAGATAGAGAGACAAATAGTTGAAAAGATATTGCATAATTGCATAAAAGTCTGATATTGCCTTTTTTATTGAGACAGTTTTTTTATTGAGACAGTTTTTTCTTTCCATTCATTCCATCATTCTCCATTTATGTACAATATGAATGGTGAATTATTTTTATTGTAGTGAATTTTAATTAAAATCTGAGCATAAGGGATGTTATTCAATAAAGTGCCATATACAACATGCACAAAACTATTCTGCTCATATATTTACTTTTCAGATAGACTAAACAAATATTGTCTGTCCCATTTCTTTTGAATAGCATTTGAACTGGAGCAGTGCATTACAGGTCGGGTCTCAGCCAGTGGTAGTGCTCTGCTGCTCTGGGCTTTCTGTGTGCTCTGCTTTTGAAAATATGCTAATGTGATCCTAAAATGTTTCAAATTGGCACAGCTATTTGAACATAGCATACTGGAACTGGGGCTTACGACTGAAAACCGTATGTGGCTGCAGCAAATCACAGCCTGCTGTATGTGCTATATATGTGTCTTCACCGCGGCAGCAGCAGAACCGTCAGCCCCCTCAGCCTCTTCATGTTCTTTTCACCACTCTTTTCATCAACGTCAGCAAATCCTTCATTATAATCTTTCACTGCAATGCGTGTGTTTCTGCTGTTCAATGCATCTAACTTATTTATATACTGGCTTGAAATCTATTTACAGAATTTAGCTTTCTGCCAAATGGTATAATATTTTAAGATTGCATTCAGGATCTCACAAGTTGTCCAATAAAATGTTAAAATGACTGGAAGACTATTTTTAAATGTCTACTGCGAGAAGAGACACTTCAACGCCACCCAGACCACGCATCTTGAAAACAGCTCAAAAGCTTTGACCTTGTGTTCTTGTGTTTAGGAAATGATTTGGAAGCTGCCTTTAGAGCGACTCTGTAGACAGGTACATGCATAAAAGAAGGACTGCATTTAAATCTAGCCCAGTTTTGTTTATGTTGTGTGTCAGTTCTGCATTGGAGATTCATTTGGTGGCTGCTGTTGTAAAGCGAGAAGCAGGTGGTGAATACAAAACAGTCCAAGATTATATTTTTACCGCGCTAATCAAACAAATAGGGCTGCGAGATTAAAGTTATAATTACATCAAAATTGCATTGTGGGTCTGAAATCCTGCTAACCATTTAGACTGGTGAAATGCACAGGATTCTTTTATTAGTTTACGAGTTAATATTCCAGTCTTCTTTCGAAAGTGAATGCTCCTGGACACGTTTGAAATGCGCGTGGTGTGAAAACTGGAAATTTTGGAACAAATTTTGCAACCCAAATCACAATTGAGAAAAGAGAAGATTGTAATTTGATATTTTGTTTCCAATATTGTTCAACCTTATAAGCCAGAATCAGTTAATTAATATTCAGAATGTGTTGAGCTACGTTTTTTGTCATTCAGAAGACTAAATGTGGGGCTGTGCCAATCTGTCATTTTTAATAATGGTTTGAACTTTTGTGTGATTTAATTAACTAGTGTTTTAGAGCTTAAAGGATCCTTGGAGCTTTACTTTGGTCTTGTCAGAACTAATGGATTGAAGAAATTAATTTAGGATTATATGTATCAATTATTTATTTTCATAGAGCATCTTTAGAGGACACATATCATGCAAAATGTATTTTCGATGTTGTAAGGGTGTTAGCTTATCAAAAACATACCTGGCTTTGCAGTTCCATAAATGATCACCATGCTGGTTCATTGCAACTGAAGGGTCATATTATAACATAGCTTAAATGACTAGTTTTTATTTGTTTCATGGTTCAATGCCCTGCTGCCATTTTCTAAACATAAGTATTGTTCCGAAACATGAAATACAAAAGCAAAGGTGTTCAAGAGCATGTTTACAATGCAAGTAATGCATAGTATGTCCAAGGAATAAAACAAAACACATCTCCAGGTATTATATTTTTACAACATGGTCGCAAGTTGCACTTTTTTTAATGGATTGGGTGTTTCCTGCGACTTATATATTACAATTTTCACACTGACAGATATGAGAGGGCGCTCTAGGCTTGTGTGTCAGTATCTGCTACAACTATTGCTCCTGCACATGTCTCCTGCAGAAAGAGCCTCTGTCCTGTCTGGATCATGTCAGTCGATCACACCATTATTTTTGTACCACTGAAAATTTTAAATTTAACTGATTTCAGTGACAACCGAAACCATCCTGTCAGGATTCAGAAAGGCTGAAATAATTCTAACTGGAACCAATGCCAAGTCTGACAACAGCTAAGCAGAAGAGGAAGTAACAGTTTACCTCTGGAGGTCGCAGAGTTGCTCAGAAGTGACACCAAGGTTTTAGGTTTTAGGGTTTAGTGATTTGAAGTGAGATGGAGAGTTTGGTCAACTTGTTGTGTTCTGTTGTTTATGTTATAGTTTTCTGAAGAACTGTTCATATGTGACGTTAACAGCCTGTTGTTCTCTTTTCTATTGTTATTACTATAACTTGTTTTTCAAGATGAAATGTCGGTTCCTGGTCTCTGATTTTATAAAACATATTCCCCCTAAAAGTGCAACTTATAGTCTGGTGCGACTTGTATTATTTATTTATTTTTTTTTTGTTTATTACACATTTTTTGGCTGGAGCGACTTAAAGTCCAAAAAATATGGTAATTACTGCCACTGTCTTCCAGATTCCAAACCTCTCCTTGATTATTGCAGCTAATCACATATTGAATTAGTTTCACAGTTAATTCTAAATATTTTTTTATTTGGTTAATCTGGTGTGTGGAGATAATACACTACAATACATACTGCAAAATGGTATAATAAAGTTTTAGGAGGTATTTTCTTTCTTTTCCTGCGACACTTATAAACTTTGTTAATTAGTTACGTGACAGTTGTTGCTTTTAAAATATTTTACAGAAGAACTATATTTTTATTAAAGTTCACCGGTTCAGAGTATTTAAAACTTTAAAATCTAAAAAGATAAATCTCACTAAAAGTTGGCTGTGCTCATGTTTAATGCAGTGCACACAATGGATGTTTTGAATCCACGCTAACAGCAGAAGCAGCTGTTTTTGTTTGGTGTTGATTCAAATAAGAAAGGGCTCATTTACAAAAACAGATCGTCCTCCTGCTCTGAACAGCAGCTGGATTCTCATTACAGACAAACTCTCACAGATCAGTCTTTTCTTCACTGATACAACATGTGTTCAGACTCAGACCACTGGTGGGGTAATGCTCGAATTAGCACTGGGTTTGGTGACAATGACGGTTTACAAATGGAGAACATTCAAATGCTGATACGTTTGTCAGTGCTTTGTTTGGTTTTACCTAGAATATTTTTTTTTACAGAATGCTACAAAATTGAACCAGCAAGGGACAAGAGACTTTTATTCAAGTGACTGAGTAAAACAGAATAGACTAGTAGTGTGGTAAAAATCATGTGGAAAAACTTCTTGACTGTGAATCAGTGTTTTCCATTTTGACTCTACATCCTTAGAAATGGATGAAATTTGTTACTTAATAAATAATAAATGAGCTGGTCTCTGAATCATTTCATGGAGTAGGAACAAGGGCTGGGCAATACGGCAAAAAGTGAATCATGTTTTTCTCCTCGTATTGATCAAACACAATTTTATTTTTTCTTATAAAATATTGGTGTGGGTGTTATTTGTGTTGCCCAGAATATATGGCATTAAACGCATCTATTTCCATGGAGACACGCAGATGATGCCACTAGTGAAAGTTGCAGATCTGTTAGGAGACAAGCAACTTTTCAAAACTCTATCTAATCTCCAATTTAATAAAAATTCTATTCATTGCACTGCTCTAGTAGGAACAACCAAGTGTTTTTACAAACCCATCGTACTGGCTGACTGTTATCCTCATTGAACCTTCATCCTAAGACATGGACATAATGTGTTACTTCATAAAAAATAAATGAACAGGTCTGCATGTTCGAAAACACATCAAGGAGTAGGAACTAGGGTTAAGTGAATCATGTTTTTCTCTACAGATCAATCAAATACAATTTTATTTTTCCAGACTGGGGATGGGGATGATATTACATTGCCTGAAATATTCATCTCCATTGAGACAAGCAAATAACACCACTTGGGCAAGTTACAGGTCAGATCTGTGGAGAGAAGGAACTAAGGCTGCGTGATATGACCAGAAATGAAGTTAAAAAGTGAAGTGAAGAAGTGAGGGTGGGTATTCAGATCAAACATTGACACACTCCCAGGCACTTCAAACCATTATGTTTGGACTGATTATCGCAAAGAGGACTATTCTGAGGGAATGGAAGACCACAGCACCTCCCTGTTTCCAAGAGATTCAGTACAATCTGTTGGACCAGCGAGATAAATTTACGAAAATTTGAGGACTTTTTATAGATCATATTAAACAGAGGACTCGACGTCAAACTTCAAAGGACTGATTTCTCTCTTCAACTCTCTACACATTACTGTACAGGCTGTATGTGTTTATTTGTTTATTTATTTTTTGTACATATGTGCACTTGTAGTGTTTGTGTGTGTTTTAATTGAAAACATGGAAACCAAATAAACAATATATTGTGAAAAAAAAAAAAAAAATAGAAGTGAGGGCAGTGGTGTTATTACATTGCCTGGAATGTTCCACTGTATGGCTTTACAGATCTATCTCTATGGAGAGAAGCAGATGACACCATCAGGGTCAGATCTGTGAAGTTAGAGGTTGCATCTGTGAAGATGCATGTGTTTTTAATAAAAAAAATAGAAACCAAATAAACAATGTCTTGAAAAAAAAAAAAAAAAAAGAAGTGAGGGTAGGGGTGTTGTCTGGAATGTTCCACTGTATGGCTTTACACATCTATCTCCATGGAGACAAGCAAATGACACCACCAGGGTCAGATCTGTGAAGTTACAGGTTGCATCTGTGAAGAGGTGAGTACCTTTCAAAAACTCCTAAATCTCAATTTCAATCAGAATTCTATTCATATACAGCCCGACAGTAGCAACAACCAACACTCTTTTTACAAGGTAACTGCAATGGCGTTTCTACTTTCCCAAACCATGTCTTATATTTCCTCTGAGATGTGTTAATGTGTTATAACAATAAATCCACTTGTACTCCTGTAAGGTCTGAACATGCTAATGAGTGCAGTGCCTTTGTTTCCTCACCATTATCCACAGCCAGAGCCGTCACAATGCTCGTCTGAGTCGGCCCTCCCGTCTTCCCCGCTCCTCCGTTCTCAAACGCCGGCTGGTTGTCCAACTCCCGAAGCTGCCAGTTGAGGCCGAAAAGGTGCATGGCTATAAAACACACAAAGAAAAGAAAGCATGTGGGCTGGCGAAACGCATAAACAAATAGGAACACGGAAACAATCAAGCCACTTAGGTACAAAGGACCACTGGGGAGCAGGGACGGATGAATCTCAGGCAAGCCGAAAAATCAACAGCATAACGGGCACTATTTTTTTCACTTCTTTTAAAGCGCTCAATGCCATGGTGGATTTTGTATAAACAGTACACCAATGGAAAGCAGACAAAGTCATTTTAGTCGATACCCAGGAACCCCCGTGGCTTCACCGTGTTTCCTTGGGGGAGATGTTCATTAACGCGCCGCACAAACAGCTACTGTATTGAAGAGACCAGCAGGAGGAGTGACGCAGACAGCTGGTCAAAAACACTACAAGTTCATGGGCCCGTTTACATGACAACAAAAAGTTGTAAGAAACTGGTTTGTTTTGCTAGCTGCTTTGTTTTCATCTTGTGTTTTACAGGGAGATGTTGAGGTTGTAAAGAGTATGGTTAAAAAGCGTAAAATAGCATTGTGGCATCTGAAATTCAGCAATATTACAGGGGAAGAGAAGCTGAATAAAAATTGAGCACATATTCTGCTGAAAACCTTGTCCAGATGACTTCCTTTCTTGAATTTCATGAAGTACCACAGCCAAATTTGCACACTGCACTTTAGTTTATTAGAAATTATATTGATTCCTGAAAGCATAATTTTGTGGCTGCTAATAGGGAACAATTTCTCCAAGAATTAACTTGTTATTTTCAACTTTCAACCTTCAAAATATATCCACATTCATTTTCAATGTAGCAACAGAAGGGTCTCTACCTTTCAAGGACTTCCACGAAAAGTCAGAAAAAGCCAAACCAAAAACTTTAAAATGCAAAAAATTTTTGTTAGTCTATTAATAAATTATGTACAAGATTTCAATTTATTCATCACTATTAGCATAAATTTTATGTGTCATTTAAAGAACACAAACTGCTAGATAGTAATAATGTACCAAACCCATGGATCATTATATTGTGCTATATTGTGCACATTGTAAATCTCAATATTAATTTAAAGAAACTTATTCTAAGTTAAAGTTTTCTAGTTTTTTATGAGTCCACTGAGTTAGAAAACTACAGTGTCCAGTGGGAGCAGACATCGCCGTAAGCATCATCAGTGATCACAACATATAACTATAAATAAAGAGCTTACTAGCAGCTTTTTTTTTTTCATTTGTACCAAAATGACTATGCGCCACCGCCATATCCTAAGGTGTATCTTCGATTAAAATAATAAAATTGCAGAACGAAGTACAGAGCAGTGGGCGCATGCAAGTGAAGGTGATGGAGTCTTGAAAATAAGCAATTAAAGATTGCACAACATGCATGAATCACTTCAAATACAAATTTGAGAGGATAAATGAAAACAGAAAACAAGTATAACAAGTATAGTAGATTTTAACAAGTATAAATAGTTCTGCTTTGATATAACACAATTGAGAATATGTGTATATAAAACATATTAATGTTATGCAATATCATTCATCTCTACCCTTAAGAGAGATTTTCCCTGTGAAAATCTCTCTTAAACGCAAATAAAAACAAAAAGTCTACCAGGAGAACATATCAGAAAGAGAAATGTCCTCTAAAGATTTGTCTGAAAACAAGTGTTTGCTGTCAATAAAACAACCCAAACGCTCTGTATTCCTATACGCCCATTGTGCTGTGTAAATAGTACATAGAGTGACACAAAAACAACTATGGTGTGAAAAGTGGTGGGACACAGGCGGCAGGGGCGGCAGTTAAAGTAGTTCCGGTGAGTTTCTGGAGACAGTCGGTCGCAGCAGGAGGGGGAAGTGAGGACTAGTTTTTCTTACATAACCAAACCGTGCCTTCTACTGAGCCAACCTGCCGCATTGTCACTGTATTGGACGCAATCATGCCGCGGGCTTGTTGTTTTGGGAGAAATCGGAGGTGCTTCTGTGAGCTCAGCGAGAGGCCCAATCTCCTTCAAAGTCACCAGCCGGGGAACATGCTGAGGAGGCATCTTGATTTCCGACCATTTGATCTGCAAGAGCAACTTCTCTCCGACGCCGCCACTCGCCCAGATGGATATTGACTGAACTGGAGAGGTAGGCCAGGGAGAATATCAGATGTGAAGAGGAGCAGAGAGGAGGATGCGCAGAGGAACGGGTATCAAACGGGACTTTGTTAGCAGATAGGACGTCTCTTGTTTAAAAGCTGATGAATACATTTGGCCAGGTTTAGAGAGAGTCGCGTGGGGCTGTCCTTGGAGCATGTTCTGGCCTTGGATTGAAGTCAGGTCCTTGAAGGCGGAATGAAAGGCAGGGTGTTAAGTCAGGGACAAGCTTGCCGCTGTGATCTCCATAGTGCATAAAGGTGCTACTTTAAAAAATGTGTGTTCTGAGTGGTCAGGAGAGTGCTTTAAACACACAGCGTGAAGCACCAAGTTCAAATACAGTTATTTTTTTCATCTATAATAAGAAAAAAGCTATGACTTGAAACTAAAAATATTTAAAAGAATGTAAGCGGTCATATTCATATTGAGAAACAACTTAGAGGCACATTTTAGTTAATATCACGTACCTGTTTTCATAACTGCTTCAGTGTAAGTATGAGGCTTCTTATTTCAGTAGAGGACAAAAAACTGTTTTTTTCCATTAGTACCAAAGGGTCAAAACACTGTAATACACATAAGCAAGTAACTGACGAATGAAGATACCAAACTGGGTGACAGTAACTCATTTGAGTGTTTGTCCACTAATCCAAAAGTTGGTGGTTTGAATCCCACTTTCAAAATAAACATAATTGGTAGAGCAGTCAGAAACACCAACCCACAGGTTACAGGTGCAATTCCAGAATCCACAGATGAATTCTGTTGTTGTGTCCTTGGGCAAGCCACTAAACCCACCTTGCCCCCAGTGTCTGCGTCCACTGATGTATGAGTGTGTGTAGGAACAGGTGAGTGGTTCATTGATGTAAAGCACTTTGAGTTCATGAAGGTGAAAAAGAGCTGTATAAAAATGTGAGCATTTGCCAAATAGTGTCAGTGTTTGTCACGATAATGAACCCTTACCCCTAGTTTCAGCTGACTATTACCATAAGTATTAATAATTAATAACACTGCCAGTCTTCAAAATTTCAAACAAGTGTAAGATGACTGTAACTTAACTTAGCAAAAATCTCTACAATTATTATTATCGTAAACAAGATTTTATGGTTATGAATTCCTAACTGCAGTCGTCTAGATTCACCTTCACCATTAGTTCTAATACAAACACAAACATTTCAAATCGAACCATTCTTACCCACAATCTTAGATCTAGCTATCCCACCTGTTATTTACCCAGATGACTTCTACGCATCGCTCCTGCCAGGCCTTATCGGTGAACCTGCTTATATATATACTAGATAGAACATCTCACTTGGCCTTGTTTAAACTACTCCACTGATACATTTTTCAGCAGACAGAGTAAATAACTTCTCAATGTTGCGCACAGACGCCCTAGACCTGCAAACAAGCCCCGGAGACACTGCCTGGTAATCCTCGTTTCAAAGATCAACCCAGGACAATTTAGACACTACGACATCCATACACCTGCAGTCAAAGCAGCAGGGCAGTACGGAAAGGAAAAACACTGAATTGTTATTTTTCTCACAAGCCTTGCAACTGGGATTTGCTATTTATGTTTTAATAATAGGATTCTGTTCAAATTTTAAATGTGTCCTGAAGAGTTGACAAAAAGACTGAAATATATAATAACTTCAAAAAATTGCAGCCTTTGTGATTTGCGAACTGCGTCCATTGAAATTGCGAAATCGGTTTGATTGCGATTAGTCTTCCAGCCCTACAAAGCAGGCTAAATAATAGAATGCAGCGATGTTCTCGAGACAGGCATTAAGTGCTGCATTCAAACTTTTGAAAATGACACCTTTTAACGTTGGGGGAATATCGTCGCCTAAGCTGACAGGTGAAAGACGGAATACTTGCTCTATCAAAGACGACAAAGTAAAAAGACGCAGTACTCACACTTCTATTTCTGCTTGGCTCCTTGATATGTTAAATAAGAAGTCTTGTAACCTGTCATAGTGTTACAAGTATGGGAAGTTTTGTGGAGAAAGTTGTTCAGTACCCTTTGGCTTACTGTAACTAATGTGGCCAGAGAGAAAAATAGACCCGGCCTTATGACTATATTGCTGAAATTGGATTTTTCTTTTTTTTGCCAGGGCTTGAGACAGCTATAATGACCGATTGCTGTCAAAGCTTTTTTTCCAGCGGTGTGTCTGGTGCCCTGCCTTTCCCAAACTCCTCAAACGCTAAGAGTTTTGGATTCCGACTCCCCGGCGGCGGCGAGCTCTGTCCTGTCATCCATCTTTTTACAGTCACGGCGCGGGACAGAGAGATGAATGCCTCGGGAGAAAGCAGTGCATTTTCCAATTCGGGCTTTTCGTTTCTTCATTTTGGCCATGTGGGACTTTAATATGGTTCACTCTTATCTTGTATTATCCTAACTTCCAATAGAAAAGAAAAACCTAGAGTGGCACTGAACCTCTCTCGCGCGGCTCTCTACAACGCCAAGGCCCCGAATCCCCACTTACCTCATCAACAAATTGCTTTGAGGTAAAAAGCCCTCAATTTTGGAATTTGCATAAGTTATTCCTGCTGCCTAGTCTCGTTCAATTAATATTTATGGGCCATGAGCAATTCTCAAACTGTGCAAGAAGCGGGCAAAGCTCACAACTAATCTCCCATGTAAAATGTGCCCAGTGGAACACCTCTACTCACGATGTATGAGATCCGGTGTGTGCTCATACATAAACTTGTGCTCATAGTCACACTTGATAAAATAGTAAATTCTTGCCCATTATGAGATGCATGTCTTTGGTAACAGCGCACTAAATTAAAAAGAGTGGACATTACACTTCTGTGAGGTATTAACTGCTAACAAACACCATGTTAGACCAAGATCACCATGTTACCTTTTATTGTTTGGAAACTTATA